AAGCGCTGGTACCTCAGAGGTCCAGCTGAGATGTTTTGTGTATGTAAAATCAGAGAAGACAAATGTGAGGAGGCAAATAGTGATTGGCCAGAATGAGATGATGTATGATAGTAGCGCTTCACACAGGTGTGATTGTTCTGTTTTTTGGGAGTTGGGAAGGAGCTGTTAGGGTAGTTCTGCACTGGACTGCAGACATGCAAATTGGCATTTACCCTCTGCTCTTTACAGAGACCCTTGATGAGGCGAAAAAACGAGAGACAAAATATAACACCACAATGTGTCCAACATCTGAAATTGAATCTCATGATGAAGGAGCTATCCGCCAAAAAAGAATATCCAGGTACATTACTAACTTTATCACAGTGATAACTTTCCCTAGGGCGTTGCAACTAGAAAATAACAACCACTGCTAAAAGGATGGCTCAAAGTGGCCAGAGTGTCCATGTATTCAGACGGTAGCCTTGACTAATAAGTGTAGTATCTTAACTACAGTTGTAATATTCATATAGTGTATTATCATAATGTTTTGTAGGCCAAATCAGCAGTTTATGCATTCTGATTCTGAAGACCATCAGAGTAGCAGTGCAAAAAGAAAGCGTTTTGCCAAACCACCTGATGTTGGATGTCCAGGTATTGTTTCCTTTATATTGACACTATGCTCACTTCTACACAGTCAAAAAAGAAATTACATATAACAGTGTACCAATAAAAGGACATTTTAATTTGATTGAAATTGTGTTTCTTGCTGAAATTGTGTATAGTTTTAGCACTTAGAGCTAAAACTAATTGTGTATAGTTTTAGCTCTTAATTATTTCCTATTTTTCTTAGTAGATCTTGTTGCTAGCAACTACCAACAATCAGTAGCTGATGAAGTTCTTAATGGTGAGTCGTCAAGCAGTCTCATAAGACTGTGATGTCAAAGCAATGCTTTAAATATAGAGCAGTCAGCTGAATGTAAGTCTCACATTTTCTCATATGGAAGGTTACAGTAATAACCTCACTGCTTTGTGTATTTCCTACTTTGTGTTCAAGCTGAGATGCCAGGTTTTGCTACAGCCCACTGTGTCCAGTACCACAAGTTGCAGAATCCACAGCGACAAAGTACAAGTATTGGTATGATACTGTACTCTTTCAGTAATAGTGATGGGTATCTTAGTGATTCTGGCTAATTAGTTAGTTTGATCAAACATTTAGATTATGTATCTTGTGTTTACACTTGTAAACTATTGCGAAATGTAACTATATCTACAGGGTTGTCTGGATGCAGCTCAAGGCAGTATAACCATTGCCCTGGTCTCTCACAATGTGCACAAAATAGGCTGCCATTGGATATATCACAGAGTAACCCACTTTACTAAATACATATACAGTGATCTGTGTTGACTAATGAATTCACTTTAGCTAAGTTTTTGCATTTCTTATTCACTTAAAAGCAAACTCCGACCAGAATGATGTATTGGATTCTGCGCCTAATCAAGGTTTCGAAGGTATCAAGACAGTCATCCAACATTTGTAGACATTTTGTGATCTGAATGTGTCAGGTTGTGTCTATATTTGAACTGTGGTCATTGCTCACATCTGTGTGAGCAATGACACCAACTCTTTAAATGCTTTGACACTTATGCATTATTTTTTAAAGGCAAACATAACACAAAGCCCTGACAGTATTTTCTTTTTGCCATTGTGATCTTGTGTATTCCACTTATCAGAGTTCTCTCCTGATTAGATGCAGAAATGTCCTTATCTATAAAAGATCTGTAGGAAACATTTCACACCTAAAGAAAGTCGGTGTCATTTTGGCACCTAACCTTTAAACTTCTGTGCATGAATATTTGTGTTTTGCAGATGCAACCACACAAAGGGCCAGCAATAATGGGCAGCTTTTGAGAGGCAAGTCTATTGGACATAATGTATTTGTAATGTGTCATTTTCAGGTTATTTTGATGTTGCACTTAAAGATTTTTAATGTTCTCCTGAAGACCTCGCTATCCATAAGATGACATGGATGCTTGCTGAAGCTCTTGTGATTGTGAAGGATCTATCCAGAGATGTCCAATTCATTAAGAACAATTTGGCTCAGAGTAACATTACACCAGGTAGCACACAAGGACCAGCAAACCTTGTACTCCCCTTCCAGCTGCCAATTGAAAGTGAAGAAGATTTCAGTAAAGCAGAGTCATTACTGATTGAAGAGACAGTGCGTCAAAAGATAATTCATTTGAAAGACTGATCAGCATCAATGTAGATTAGTCAGTGTGAGTCTTTTTCTAAGGGCAAAATGTTTGCTCTTTAGCTACTTGAACACAAATTGTAATCTACAAGTTCTGAACATGTCACAGAGCTTGTAGATGTGCTATTTATGAAACATTTTGCAATTATTCACATAGATGATTTAAATTTTGACCTAACCCAAATTGGGACCAGGATGGTTAATAACGCTAATATCCATGACCATGAATGAACACTATGGAGTGGAATATCAGTGCATAAGCATAAATACAGTA